ATCTTTGTCGACATTCTTCGACAGATCGAGGTTCAAGATCCTCACTATCTTGCATAATATTAAGTGCAACATTATATGCAAAAATATTATCCACCACTATTTCAAATCGATTTAAATTAATCCCATCACCGTTCGAACTTATTAAAAGTTCCTCACTCACATGAGCTTCAGGTTCATTGATTTCTTCAGGAATCTCAGAACTAATCAGATTTTGGGTCTCTTCAGGAGATCCCTTCATAGTATCGTTTTGATCATTTGTCGATTTTCTTTTTCGAGGATTTCGATCCTTAGAACCCAAAGGCCTACCACGCTTCAGGCGTGCTTTAGGTTCACTATCTCTCATGCTAGTAGATGGTCCTACTGGGACATCAATTCGGAAAGACACATTCTTTGCTGGGATATGTGACTTAGTTATCCTTTTCAAATTAGTAAATGCGTCTGGCATTTGATTTGCTATATTTTGTAAATGGATGATCTTCTGGACCTCCTGATTACATATAGGGGTACGGGGATCAAAGTGAGATAACGATGAAATTTTTCACACAATTTCTCTTTTGATTTCCTTTTTCTCTCCCCCTAATTGTGGAAATTTTTTTTCATCAAACCGACAATCTGCAAATCGAGCAGTAAATAAATCTCCTGTTAATGGTTCAAGATAGCGAATAATAGAGGGTGATTCAAACCCAACATATATTCCTATCCTTTTTTGTGGTCCCATCTTACTACCTTGTGGTGGTGCTACTAACACATATACAACACATTCGAAAATTCGTAGATGGGAAATGTTTGGTTTATAACCAAAAACTAATTGTGACGGAGAATATTTATTATAATGTGTCGGTCTGGGACGGATAAGTGATGCTGCATGCAAGATAGCATGGCCCCAAGCAGTAGTGGGCAATTTTGTTTTCATAAGTAGTGGTCTTTCTATCAATTGCAGGCGTTTAATAAATGACTCTGCAAGGCCATTTTGAGTATGAACATAAGCTACAGGATGTTCAACTTTTATCCCAACAGATAGACGATAATCATCAAAAACTTGAGTTGAGAATTCTCCAGCATTATCAAGGCGAATAGCCTTTATAGGATAATCTGGGAATTGTGCCCTTAATCGAATTATTTGGGCTAATAGCTTCGCAAACGCCAGGTTGCAAGATGATAGTAGGCACACATGAGACCATCTTGAATATGCATCTATTAGGACCATAAATTATCTAAACAACTCACTTGGTGGGTGAATAGGTCCACATATATCCCCATGTATACGCTCTAAAAAGGTAGGGGATTCAATACCAACCTTCATTGGTGATGGTCTAGTGATCATTTTTCCTTGATAACAAGCATCACAAGAAAATTCGTCATTTTTAAGAATCTTCAAGTTCTTTAATGGATGTCCACTCGAATTTTCAGTAATTCGTCTTATCATTATTGATCCAGGATGGCCCAAACGGCCATGCCAAAGCACAAAAGTATTTGAATCCGTAAACTTCTGGTTTACGATAGAGTGTGCTTCAATTGTACTAATTTTTGAATAGTATAAGCCAGAAGATAAAGTTGGTAACTTTTCTACAATGCATTTCTGGCTAGAAATATTCTTTGTAATACAAAGATATTCCCTGTTCATTTCATCTATTGTCTCAACATGATACCCATTTCGGCGGATATCTATAAAACTCAACAAGTTTCTTCGGGACTTGGAGGAGAACAATGCATTGTCTATAATAAGTTTTGTTCCCTTAGACAGAAATATTATGGCTCTTCTGGAGTCTTCAATCAAACTTATTATTACCATAAATTGTTGAAACATTTGCTTTTTCCTTATGCAAATAAGAAAAGTATTTCTGATCGTTGAATATGGCATGAGTTGTTCCACTATCAATAACACAAATATCTTCATAGTTTGTCTTTGATCCAAACATAATTTAAGGGTTATCCATATTCTTCAAAATAACATAAATAAAATATATTATAGTAAACATCATTATCAAAGCATAACTTTTATTTATGTACAACAATTACATAACCATACTATCTATTACAAACAACAAAAATTAAAATATTTACATTTCTACAGATTCACCACCGATTACATGACTTGTTTCTCCTTCTGGGAGTGCAAGGTAATCAGTTACATCCAAATGCATGAAGTCTAAATTATCTTCAGAAATAAAATTTGCTTCAGCATTTTTCTCTGTCTTCTTCAGGGAGGCTTGATAAAGCTCAACCAGGTGCTTTGGCGTACGACAAGTACGTGACCAGTGCCCTTTTCCTCCACATCTATAGCATGCATTTTCTGCATTTGGCGCTTGCACCGCTTCATGCTTTTGTTCCTTCCTTTTCCACTGCTGGTGGTGAGGAGGCTTCTTTGGTGCATTATTATTACCATGATTGGGGTTTCTTCCCCGACCACGGCCATGACCACGACTGGGGCCACGACCTCTTCCACGTTTAGCTTGGTGGAAGTTCGTCTCATTCACTTCAGGGAATGGACAAGAACCAGTAGGTCGGCTTTCATGATTTTTCATTAATAGCCCATTATGTTGCTCGGCTATAAGAAGATGTGAGATAAGTTCAGAATACTTTTTAAATCCCATCTCTCGATATTGCTGCTGCAGGAGCATATTCGAGGCATGAAAAGTGGTGAAAGTTTTCTCCAACATATCATGATCAGTAATATTATCACCACATAATTTCAATTGGGAAATAATTCTGAACATAGCAGAATTATACTCACTGATAGATTTAAAATCTTGTAGCCTTAGATGAGTCCAATCATAACGTGCCTGTGGAAGAACGACCATCTTCAGGTGGTCATATCTATCTTTCAAATTATTCCACAGTATGACTGGATCTTTAATAGTGAGATATTCCATTTTCAGGCCCTCATCAAGGTGATGGAGTAGGAATATCATTGTTTTGGCACGATCTTGGTTTGATGCCTGATTTTTATCCTTGATGGTGTCTGCCATACCCATCGCATCAAGATAAATTTCAGCATCAAGCACCCAAGACATGTAGCTTTTGTCTGATATATCCAGGGCTAAAAATTCAAGTTTAGAAAGATTTGACATTATTTAGGAAAAGAAAGTTCTTACCTCTAATACTTTCAAAGTATTTGCTCGAGATGTCAAAGTTTAGTGCTGATAACATGTTATAAAATAAAGACTATAAAGTAAAGACAAGTATAGAGAGAAACTGATATATTATTCGAATTCAAACTGATGTACATAATGAACTGAAATCTCTTCTATTTATAGAAGAAAGGAAGCTGTTGTGTAAGCTGCTGTGTAAGCTGTTGTGTAAGCTGCTATTACAAGTTGTTGTGTAAGCTGCTACTACAAGCTGCTGTGTAAGCTGCTACGCAAGCTGCTGTGTAAGCTGCTACTGCAAGTTGCTGTGTAAGCTGCTACTGCAAACTGCTGTGTAAGCTGTTACTATACCAGATATGGATAATCTTCTACTGAGAGCAATGTTTATCCATAACGGAGTACTGAATGGATAAGCTTATTATACCCGATATGGATAATCTTCTACCGAGGGTAATGTTTATCCATAATCGGGTACCGAAGTGATAAGCTTCTTCAGGAAGCTTATTTCCAATAGAGTACTAAATGGATAAACATATTTACGGTGGAGTCTCATATGGATAAGCTTCTTCAGGAAGATTATTTACAACGGAATACTAAATGAACATCCATAATATAATATATTTATAACAAGAAATAATTTTAGATTTCTTAAAAGACATTTGACAAAATATGCCAGAATAAACAAAGCGGCCGAGCAAGCAGACAACAAATCAAATCATAATTACTACCAGTCGGTAACATAAGGTCCATCAATAAAGTAATTTTAAGGACTGTTTGTATCTACAATTGCACTAGATAGTTAACAGGTGATTTTACAGCTTGTTAATCCCTAACTAGAAATTCGAGACTATGGGGTTTACGTCTTTTAACATTGATAAGACTTTGGCAAAATTGGTCCCTCTACTCAGTGATCTTGTAGCAGCAGCCTGAGAAAACAGATAAGTAAAGAAGAATGAGGATATACAAGAGGTAAAGGACAAAATATAGGACTAAAATGCACTAATCACTTCATCAAAACCTGGATGACTGGACCATCAGCCAATGGATCAGAGTAAGGTACCCCTAGTTCTATGATATCCGAACCACATCGATCAAGCAGTTTCAGTGCTTCTGCAGTTGTTGACATGTCAGGATCCCCAGCAGTGATGTATGGAATTAATGCCACCTTTGCAACAAAAATTTGAGTTTCAATTAAAAAACCAGAGATAATACTAGAAATACTTTTGAACGGTAAAAGCAGCTCGACGTTTTGACAGAAAAGCCATGAAAGAAGACATCTTTCTAACCTCGACAACTACCCACCAAAGTAACAAACAATTGCATAAAAATAAAAAGTTTCCACGGGAGTGTTTGTTTTTTTCCAATTCAATCAATGTTCAAAACAGAAATTCAATCAAAGCAGGTGAAAATTCTCTAACAGTAAGAAAATTCTTTTTGGGGGATAAGCTTCTGGCTGCTGTACATTTATCACTAATTTTCATAGTTTGAATAGGAGCTACAGATAAAACTACTCACTGGAAATCTCTCACACCTAAGTATCAAATCCAAGATTTTCTTGGAAACCCAATTAAAGCAAATTATCATCTTTTTAACCAATGCCCAACTCTAATAAACCTTCAAGAGCGTAAACACGAAAAAACCTAAGAATTATACAAAACAAAGGAATCACAACCCACAAAAAAATTCTTCTTTTTTGGGAAGAAGAAAAATGAGGAGACAGAAAGTCATACTTTGCCTTGTTTCCTCAATCGAGTGAAAGTTTCAGAAAGTCCAACAGTTGGTGTGGTGTTGAGAGCAGCCATGGGAGGTTTGACCGAAGTTGAAATCTTGAGTTTTTGGGTATTATTATAGGAGTGAGGAAAAGCGTGATTTTCAAGCTTGTTATTGGAGTGAATGAAGTGGGTTGCTTTTAGAAAAGATGCCATAACATCAGGACTTTTAACTTTCTGCTAATGGAGATGAAGAGATATAGCGGCAACGCACGGGGTATAAGTACGGCCTGCTGTAAGAATGAAGTGGCTGGATTTAGGAAAAGTTTCAGATGCGGGTAAGGCAAAAGAACTATTCACACTTAAGCCACCGATTTTTGGTGTAATTGCATTTGCGGTTGTAATTGTAAAAATTGCACGGGGCGCCCTATTTGGTCGCCCCCATTAACCTATACTCATTTTTTAAAAAAGTTTTAACTGTACCCATTTTTTAAACAATTTCAGCTCTCTTTCTCCTCCTCCTTCTCCTCCTTCGTTTTCTTCTTCTTCTTTCTTCTGTTGTTGGTGCTACTATAAAACTTCAGTTCATAGGGATGAACTTTCTGCTGCTGCTATTGGTGCTGTTATGTCCAGCAATTACAATACTGTCAACGTTCAACAATTGAAAACTAACCATTTTAGCTTTCTCCCAACATTCAACAATTGAAAGATGATACTTTTACAAATGGTATTGTTTTATAAGAGTATTGCTTTTCAAATTTTTTGATAATTCCATTATAGCAACTGGATCTTAATGACAACTTGTCATTGTTGTTTTAGAACTTCAGCTCTAAGAATATTGAAGTTCAGCAAATATAAAACAAACTTCACCCCTGAAGTTCATCACAAACATAACAAAGCTTCATCTAAAACATGCTGAAGTTCTGCAAATATAGAACAAAACTTCAGCTAAAACATGCTGAAGTTCAGCAAATAAAGAACAAAACTTCAGCTACTAGAATGCTTAAGTTCAGCAATTACAAACAAAAATTTCAGCAAATAGAGAACAAAACTTCAGCTGCTAGAATGCTTAAATTCAGCAATTACAAACAAAAACTTCAGCCAATTGGTTCAGCAATTTTTGCTACTTGAGGCCCGTCTATTAGAATGCTGAAATTTGCGTGATTGTCTTTGCTACTTTAGGCTCGTATGTCTAAGTTACGCGAAAAGTGGGTATGCTTGTAATTTTTTTTGCAAAGCAGGTATAAGATAAAACGTGACCCAAAAAGCAGGTATAGATGCAAATGTCCGTTGTAATTTGGTCGTCGTTGTGGGATCGTCTACTTTTTTTGCGCCCTTTTTTCTTAATTTTGAGTGAAATAATATCATCAATTCCACCACACTGGTCCACATCTCTTGGTGCCAATCGTCAAATTTTTTATTCAACTTGACGACCTAATTAGATTCAAAAATTGAGAATATTATCTCAAGTAAATTGATCATAATCATCAGAGAGTTAGAAAGTGAATTTTGTTGGAATTAAATCAAGATTAATTAATAATCCAAAGTAATTTATAATTTAGTATTTGTTAGTTTCTTTAATTCACGTCTACTTAGGTTTTGTAGTCAAAATCATATAAGAATCAATTTCTTAATATCTAGTCAAATTTGGTTTTGTACTACCATAAACATGGGCGGATCTGGCTTTTTGAATTTACCCGAACCCAATACTTTTGATACGAAGCATAATTTTATATGTAAAAATCTACTAAATTTACAATAAATATTAGAGAAACCCATAACTTTAAATATATATATAATGGGTTCAATATTAGAAATCTAGAAGTTGAACCCATAAAGTTTAAATCCTCCTCTAATTATAAATAGAAAAATAATAATTTCATAGTGATATTGCTGAGTTTATGAGTGATGAAAAACCCTCCAACCTCTTTATCTCTTTAGTTTACAATGGTTCTTCCAAATAGCCATTGTTGTAATATTTTATTTTGCCTAAATTGTTCTTTTGAGGTATTTTTTATAAATCCTTCAAATTTCGCATTTTATGTCTTTATGATCAATTTGACCGAGAAAGTGATTTTTCAAAGTCAATACAATAATTGTTTAGTGTATAACTTCTGACTATTTGAAGGAAAAGTTAACATCATGAAAATGATGGCAAGAATAATCGGGTCAATCAAATCATTGATCAATTAATGAGGGTCAAACGTCTATTTCAAAGACATTTTTGAATCCTCTCCTCGTACAAGTAGGTCCAAAAACAAAATTTAGAAATCGTTAAAAATATGCAGAACTCCAGAATCAAAGTCCACTGAAATTTCTTATTTGTATATGTCATCGACTACCATCTGTCAAACAATATGACTTTGATGCCTAGCGGCAACACGGATCTTATGTTCTTTAGATGCCCATGATATCAAAACAGACCAGGTAGAAGACTCAAAAACCACAGTCAGAGATACTCGAACTGGGGTTAAATCATCCGTCTTTCCATGGAAATATTTCATCCGCAGCTGACATGCTCACTTGGTATGAAGCTGATCTCTGCCTTCTAATGCGCAAATCTTCTTCAAATGTACCTGGAATAAGAGCATATACATATCTAAGATCATAGCTATAAGTTCATTTTTCACATAACTGCAAGGAGATGACGCACATACAATTGATTAGCATTAAATTATGACGGCTTCCATGTTTAGCCCAACAAATAAACTGAACCATATGCATGTGCTCGTGATCGGTGATTCAAGAATAAAAGGCAATCAAAAAGTGGAGCAAAGGGAGTACATTTTACCTCTTCAATCACTTTTTAATTGATTTTGTGGCTGTGAGAAAAACTCTTTGGCATTATTTGCCACTTCTGCCTCCAGTATCGCTTCTAACACAATGTCAGACCCTTTTGCTTCATCTTTTGGGAAAAAAGAAAATAATTAACACAACAAAGGAAGAAATTTCACAACAAACTGTTGTACGCGCACAGGGCGTAGATAGGAGATTGGAGTTGATTCTCAAAAAAATCCACCCTTCGTTTGCAGCTACGAAACATGTAAATATTTAAACCTATTTTTTCATCGAGCCCGTCTAGATCTATAAGGTACTTCTTGGTCGAGTGGGTTTTGGGAGGGAAATTGCAAGCCTAATTCTTTTTCTTTCTAGGAAATCCAATATCAAGTTAATGTAGGATAAAATTTTCATAACTAGCATCGGCAAAAAATGCAAGATGATTTCTTTCGATCTGTCTAAGCCTTAGTGGTCCTGAGTTATTTGGAACGGCTCTTTCTCTCTCTTCAAGTCTCTCTCTCCCCGCTAGTGCTCTCTCTTCTGCCTTCTGATTTTTCGGCGCCGGCAACCTCAAGTAAGCCAGCCTCNGGTTTCGTGGTGGTTGTGTGTATTTTTTTAGGGAACTAGTTGCGGTTGCCCAGGAAAGCGCGAGCATACGGGAGAGTAGAGCGTAGCATCACCGGCTAGTATGTGCAAAGGTTGGCAGGAGTTGGAAGGATGCACGACAGATTTCTGTGACCTCGGGTGCATCGTCATATTTCCAGGTTCTTTCCATCGGGAGTTGGTACCTCCCGCTTTCTTGTCTCTTTCTTTGTGTTAGTTAAATTGGAGCTATTTAGTTAGCATCACTTTAAGCATATTATTAGAGTACTTGTAGTTGCTACCTATTATTTTCTAGTTTGGGTCTGTGCTAGTGTTTTCCAGAGTTTGTCGTAGGTATAGTGGTTGTGGTCTGGGATGGTAGAGTAAGGTCATGTCCTCGAGGGGTGTCGGGGGTGAGAAGGGGGTGGG